TACTAGTATCATCATATCTTAAGCTTAGGTCAAGGTGTTTTGTTCGGGCTATTAGTATAACTATTATAATAGCTCACCTGGACCAATGACCAAAGCTTATCCATCAAAGACTAGACCTTCACCCAATATCAATGTCCTTCTTGCAGAATCCACTTTCCTAATATGACAGGGCCAGGCAAATCCAAACTTCCTGTTGAATGTCTCCTACAGCATCAACTCTCCCCAAATATCCTCTTCACTCCCTCCAAATTCCTTCTCAAAAACCCTCAAACCTCGTCATCCCCACCCCCAACTCCCTCTCCAACACCCCAGGATCAAACCTATCCTGCCTCCACCAATACCACCTCTGCAAATCAATCTGCAATTGCCACTCCCCACGGCTTCATCCTCCCCAACCTCCTCCGCCCCCACCCTTTTCCCAGTAACCCTCGAAATAGCATCCGCAATCTGCCCACTCGTCAACGCCTCTCCACCAATATCCATAACCCTCTTCGAAAACCTCCCCGACTCCTCCACCACCACCCTAGCCACCACCCTCCCAATATCATCCGGATCAAGAAGCATCATCCTTTTCCCGGATGGTAGGGCCGTCCGCAGCCTCCCCTGCGACCCCAACCCAGGAAAGTAACCCTCTACACTCGGACTCAAGAAATTGGTCATAAAGAACGGCGGACGAAGGATCATCCAATTCTCTATCCTGCTTTGCCGAAAAAGCGTCTCAATATGCGCCTTACTTGTGAAGTATTCCTTCAATGGATGGGAATCTTCCCAATGAGCCCAATCGGGGTAGGTGCTGCGGGAGTCGAGATCACAGACACTCGTGTAGATGAGGGTTTTCACGGTGCTGAGGGGGTGGGTCGCTGCCGCGAGGACGTTACTGGCGTGTCGGATTTCAGCCCCGTCGTGTTGGAAAGAAGGGGAGACGTTGAGGAAGATGGTTTTGACGCGCTGACAGGCTTCTTGGAGGATGGTGGGGGAGTCAAATGTGCCTGGGATTAGGGTGGCGCCGTGGGCGGAGAGGTCCATGGCGGATGGGCTGGTCGGGGTGCGCACGAGGCAGTAGACGGTGTGGCCGCCGTGGGAGAGGAGGTGGCGAGCTACGGAACCGCCTTGACGGCCGGTGGCGCCGGTGACGAGGATGGAGGTCATAAGGGTGGTTTGGTTGTTGGGGATGGGAATTGAGGGTGGATGTTGTTGGGTGGTGATCACTCGGTCAAGGAAGGATATGGATGGATTCAAGGAGGTAACCCTAACTGAGACCACTTTTGATACCGATGCACGTCACTTGCTAAATAACTAATCAATTCTGATAAACCAAACAGATCATTTGTCAGCATTGGTAATGCAACAATAGATTTAAGCTATCTGTCTAGCTTGATAATGCATACGTATCATGTCAGCACTAGAAAAGGATGCCAGCGGAGCTCCCCTCGGTGTCCCCTCGGATTTCCGAAAGAAGATAATTCCGAAGCTGAAAGGAATATCAAGTCAGGTCCGCAATATCTCCACCATGGTCACTATGAGTGAGTAACGCAAATGGACAGGTCCACAATTTATCGGAGTCATGAACGACCCGGGATCTTCCACCAGATGGTCGTGTGGGCCCAAAAGACCGCACATATCCATGACCCTTGCATAGTTATTCAATGGAATCAACAAGGTGCCAGGGCGCATCAACGGGCCGTGCCATGTGATCAGTCGCTGTCTTAAGGTCGCTTGCATGCCGTCTCGGTGCAGGCTGCATTTCACAAAGGGGATCTCATTCTCGGCAGGAGCAAGGCTGAAAGGATCTGGCAAAGGATATCATATTTCAAGTTAGGGCTGATATGGCAGGGATGCTTACCGGGTTACACCGCCAGGATTCATGGGTCCCATCCATGGAGCCATCTCTTGTCCTATTCCTGGGACAGTGCCTGAACCAGACATTTGTCAGCTATCATCCAAATGAATAGAATCTTAGAGATCAACCTCATGGCTCTGGGGTACATGTATATCTAGCAAGCCAACCTCACCATCAACTCACTCTCACTCTCACTCACCCACTCTCAACATCCACCCATCCATCACCAACCGCCACAATGCCCACCCCCAAAACCTATCTCATCACCGGCTCCAGCCGAGGCATCGGCCGCGCCCTCGTCACGACCTTTTTCTCCCGCCCCAACAACACCATCATCGCGGCAGTCCGCAACCCTCAGAGCCCTGAAGCCCTCACCCTCACCAACCTCCCCGTCGGCCCCAACTCCCACCTCATCATCATCAAAATCGACTCCACGGTCCCCACTGACGCCTCCACCGCAGTCACCACCCTCCAGCAAGCCCACGGTATCACCCACCTCGACATCGTGATCGCCAACGCCGGCATCTGCGACGACCTCTCCCCCGTGCACACCGTGCCCATCGACATCTTCCGCGAACACATCGAAGTCAACGGCTTCGGACCGTTGTATCTCTTCCAGGCTGTGTATCCTCTCCTTCAGAAGAGTGAGAATCCCACGTTTGTGGGGCTGGGTAGTCCGTTGGGGAGTATCGGGGGCATGGAACAACGCCCGTATCCGTGTACGGCTTATGGTCCCAGTAAGGCAATTTTGCATTGGCTGGTCCGTAAGGTGCATTTTGAGAATGAGGGGTGGGTGAGCTTTGTGGTTGATCCGGGGTGAGTTATCTTTTCTCTTTGGGGGGGTTTGTATGTGGCTAATGAAGGTGGTAGATTCCCGGCCACGGATATGGGGAATGCCGGGGCGCGTAGGGCGGGTTTGGAAAAGGCGTTTCAGACGGTGGAGGAGAGTGTTGGGGGGATTGTCAATTTGGTGGATGGGGCGACGAGGGAGGAGGTCGGTGGCCAGTTGAGAATTTGGGATGGGTCGGTGTTTCCTTGGTGATGGCTTGAATAATATCTTGGAATAGATGATGGTTATGGTCTTACTATTCAAATATTAATTATGATCATTAGGTGGTCAGATCTCGCAGCACCTGGCTGATTAGCAGATTTCTACTTCTACCCATTACTTGATTCTAAGTAGTGAGGTATATTCTGAAAGGATTATTACCACGCATTTGCGTCTATTTGTTCTGCTATATAAATCTATTCAATGTATCAATAGTACAGCGACCGCTTCGTAGCAGACGAATCAGACACACAGTCCACCCCAATCCCCCCCTCAATATCATTGCAGATAATCTCCGCACTACCCGACGGACTCGTCAGGTTAACATTCGTCAAGGTGATGTTGGTGCACACAGCATCTGGTGAGCACACCAAATCTGCAACCACCTTGCCATCTTTCCCTGATGATGTTCCCCACACATTCTCAAATAGCACATTGGTGATGTTCACAGCCGACGGATACTCGGCACACTCAGTGGAATTCACATCAAAGTAGCACTGGTCCAGCACAATCGGTGCATCGGTATTCTGGATCTGGATATTCTTGTAGGTTATATTGTTCATGCGGCCGTAGCCCACATCAGGACCAGCCCAGGCCTTGAGGCGCGCGCCATTCTACTCTCATTAGCATCGTTGTGTAGACCGCGGGAATGCACATACCTGTCCATTCAACAGCGTCACATTTTCAATATACACATTCTCGATAAAGTCCATCTCTCCTGAATATTGGCCAATGCTGCCCATACTCACACCGTGTGTGTTGTTGCACCACATGTTCTGCACGAATATGTTGCTCGTGTTCGACTTGGGAGAGAAGCAGTCATCACCCACGTCGATGCGCATGTTAGTAGCGCTAAAGTTGTCCACCACAAGCGAATCGAATCCATCCGTGTTGGCCGGATCAGACTGAATTGTTAGCTGGATACACATATCAAGGCCATCAAACAACTCACCGACGCATTAGTTGAAAATGCATGAATGTACACATTATCAAACGAGATATCATTAGTGCGGACAAAGAAATTCGTCCAGCAGGGCGAGTTCAACTGCGTGATGCCCTCGACCGACACGCGGGTGGCATTGTCAGTAAGGAAGAGAATTGGCCGGTAGAATGTATTATCGGGGTCCTTTCATCGTCAGCTACCATCCATCCACTACGACATATGAGACCTACCAAGATCTGCATGCCCGCAAATTCATCATACCACTTCTGCCCATTCCCATTCAGCACCCCACTGCCAAAGATTTTAATATCCTGGCCACCCCAGCGCCAAAAGGTTATAGACTTCTGGAAGCTGTAGTAGAAGTTGTTGGCTTGCCAGTAGGTGATGTTATTGGTAAACTATACCGTCAGCCATCCTCCTATGCCATAGAATCCTGCTGGACAAACCTGAATCTCCCCCTCCAACTGCACCTCAATATCATCCAAAAACGTCAAATCCAGCTTCTTCCCAATAACATACTTTTCTCCCTCCTTCAACAACAACCGTCCTCCATGGTTAGCCCGCTGCAATCCCCACAAGAAGTCCGCGGAGATATCATCGGCCGCGTTCTTCGACGCCCGAATCGTCACCGTCTGTCTGTCCGAATACTTGCTATTCTGGGCCCCAATGGCCTGTAATCCCGCCGTATCAGATGCCGGGATGACCTTCGCACCGGGAATGAGTCCACCCACGGCAACACCAACGGAGAGGGTACCGGCGCTGAGAAGCAGCGCAGTAAGCGAGAGGAGTCTCATGGTGAATGTGTTGCTTAATTGAATCTACTGTTCTTCAAGGACAGCACTTCATCGCCATTTATATACTGTGATCTGTCCAGCTCGGCCGAAAAGAATTCATACATACCCCAGATAACATGATCCGGGGTAATCCCCACGGGGAAGCAGGGGATTTTTCCACCTGTCAGCGTGAGGGATTTTCAGACCGATTGCAAAGGGAACTGGTTGTCCTTGAGTCCGTTCTCGAAGACCCGTGACCAGCCACTTGGTCGGTGCGCGGTGACGGACTGCCGCTGCGCAATTTCCCCGGTTTATAGGGCTGGCTGGAGGATCTTCCACCAATGGATGGTGGATGGTGTCGGACTTGCGGTGATGTGTATCGTGGGGGTGTGCTTTTTGTGGGGATATAGAGTGGTAGTCGATGGAGGATGAAGTGGCAGTTGCATGTTGGGTGAAGGGGTGGTTGTGTGATGTCTTCTGATTCATGGGTGAATAGAGCAGATGTGTCGAATGGGGGTTTTGATGATATCATGCAGCATTGCAGTATAGATGGTATTGTTGGAGTTGGGTTGTGTTGTTGGGTTATTGCAGGATAAAGCGCACAATTTGCCTCGACGATATCCCATACTGTACTCCGTAATGCGGGGTGCTTCATCTGGGGACCGATCCAGCATCCCCAGATCGATCTCAACATTATCCATGCACAATCCCCTCCCTTAGTCATATTCTATCCAGGGTATAACAAACTCATATTAAACTAATAATAGTCTGATCCATTAACCCGCCAGGAAGAATAACCTCGGTACCCCGCAGATCGTCATCCCAACAATCCAGCCGGAGATCCCAATCTCCCATCTTCCTCCCAATTATGCAACCCCTTGATCAAGTACTCCGTATCACCATCAGATATCCCCAACCCCGAAAATAGAGGCAAATCACAACCGCTTCCCCCCCGCCACCAACGCCGTAATACAACTCACATTCCCCGACCACCACAACACCGACCGCAAAAAGCTCCACCCCTCCGACTCAATAAACACATATGCCAATCCAAACGCCACCCGCGACAACGTATACCATGCCCCAATCCCATTGATTGTTTCATTCGGGAGGTCTGTGTGCAACGCCACCAGAACTACAGCAATCAGTACTTGTATTCATCCATAATACCTTGTAATAAATGTTATATGTGAAGGGAAAAAAGAAGGCACGCACTCGCTGCCACAAATAGTGGAAATCCCTCCATCGCATTGGAATGTGCTGCTTCCTGTCGCTTCAATCGGTTCAGTTGTCGCCGCGTGATTTTGCCTGCTTGCACGGCGGCCTCGCCGTAGGTTGTGAGGTCGTCGCGCGGCGCCACATTGTGGTCGAGGCGGAGGAGTCGCTTGGCGGGTCGGGTGCTGAGGACTCCGTGCGCGAAGAACCAGTTCCATATCAGATAGGCCACCGCGTGGTTGGCAACTTGTTGGTCGGGGGTGGCCTGGAGGCCGAGAGTACTTAAGATGGATCTGCAAGATTAGGATGGCCCTTTGCTGCTAGCTGGTGGATGGTAATTAACTTACGACATGATGAGATCTGTGGTAGTTCTAGAGAAGTGAAATTGGAGATGAGAAGGGGATTTATATAAGTCGCGTGATCGACATGCCCACCGCCAACAAAATTAGTTATCATACATTATCGTAGCCTCCTGGCAATCACATGAAACTTTTGATATCACAATATCTCGCTCATCCAAACGCCTCGGCTGCCCATTAGAACAACGTCAGAAAGTCCTGATCCCACATCCCCGGCATCCCGTAGTCGTTCATGTCAAACATGGTCCCGAAATCCAGCGACTGCATCCGTTAGCATCAACCCGTCAAGCAAAGGAGGCCGACAAACCGTGTCTAATCCAAACGACGCAGGGTCGAATGGTAAATCAGGCGTCGCAAGGCTCAATGAGGGTGTAGAAACGGGCTAGAGTTCTATCAGCAAATGTTGACAACAATCCAAAGACCCACGTACCGTCGACTCGGCCTGTCTGGCTCGGACAGAGGCCCAGGTGGCCCCCCGCATCACCTGTTCGCATGCCTGCATGCATTTCATCGCGTCCAGCTCAATCACTTTCTGTGGATCTTCTCCTCGCAGCCGTGCCTTCACCGACGAGAGTGCAAGATTCGGGAGGAAAAAGGCCTTGCTCCCCTTGCCGTTCGGAGTGATCCGGCTGCCAAATGTTTCTATCGTCCGCTCGACCGCCCCGACCATGACCTCCTGCTGTGACCGCACCAGATCGTTCAATGAGGTCAGCGCGCTGGACTGTCCCGCGGTCGATGCGCTCGTCCTGTTGAACTCGCCCGCTTGGAGGTAAAGCTCCACGCACACCGTCAGGGCTGCGTGGAGAAACTCGTCGCGGAACATCCCCCCACTGAGCTGTCCCAGATGCGGGCATACCTGGGCGCTCGCTGGAGGTTCGTGGTGAGAGAGGATCTCCAAGGCGGACTCGAGGCAGATCTTCCGCGAGTAGGAAAATTTTGGCGACCGAAGAATACTCAGTGCAAACGGCCGGTTAACAACCAGAATCGATCGCCGCAACAGAAACACCAACATTGACTGGGCGAATGATGAGTCGTTGCCGCCCGGTGAAGGCAGCCCCAGTTCGCTCTTCTGAAAGGTCCCCACGCCCTGGTGCATGAATTGGATCAGCTCTTCGCTCAGTCGCAAGGCCTCATCGTACGACAGGGTGAATTTGAGACTGTTGATAGCCTTGGCGATGTGAAGTCGCAACGGTAACGACTGGAGAAGCAAGACCTGAAATGTGCTTTGTGTTAACACCCCCGGATCCTTGGGGTCCGGGTCCTCGGTCATATCTTCCGTCAACTGCGAATCGTCGAGATTCGACGGCGGCTCGCAATCATATTCGTCCAGGTCAATCGTGGGCGGCATCCCGCCGTCCAAGGACGACTGCAAATCCAGCTCCAAGATGGTCGCCCAGAGCCGCCGACGCATCTCGGCCCAGAATTTCGTCATCTTGCCGAACCGATGGGGATCCCGATGCAGCCCCATGGTCATGGCAGTCCGTGTCAGCGAGCCAGACGAGATCCAAACAATGTCCCCGTCGATTGCATCGGCCTGCCGTGCAATCATCAAGAGACATTCGATTTGCAGAATGTTGAAATCGATCGTCGAACTGACCAGTGTGGACGCAATCCACGACCGAACGCCAGCAATCCATTCGGCGGCCGTTTGGTACACTGGACCTTCCCCATTGATCTTCGTGGTCGGACTGAGAAAACAGCAACTGGCAGCCATCAACGCCAGCAGCTTCGCCACAAAAGACGGTTCCCTGGGCTGCAGGCCCGCCCAGAAGTTCTCGTATTGCTCCAAAAAGGTGGGGATATGCAAGATCCGGTGCGTTGTCTCGAACGTCGTCAGATACAGATTCAGTAGTTCGTCGGCGACATGGCGAGGCGGGACCATTTCCTCTAGCGTGGGGGGCTTATCGCGAAAGGCGCGCTGATGTTCTTGTCTTTCCCGCGACCATAGCTCTCCTTTGAAATCTTTGAACTTCTTATAGTCGGGGTTTCTCTTTAAGGTACTGCGGCGTCCTCTCATAAATGTTCCAACATCGTCAAACTGCAGCAGTCAGCACCACATCAGATGGGCATCGCGGGTACATACAAAGGACAAGGACACGGATGAATGGCTTCGTCCAACGTATCGGGTCCGGCTCTTCTTGCCACGAAAACAACATCGGTCCGGAAGGTCCTTCACGCTATCGACGAGGTTGTGCGCCTCCGGGCCCATGCGATGCCCGCCTTCCGACGGGGCGTCATATCCCAGACTTTCCGGCGTGTGAATAGGACCCGTCTTGGAGAGCGCCGATTCCAAAAATTGGATGCGATTGCGCAGCTCGTGCAACTCATCCGAGCGCGATTTGGGCTTGCTCACCCGGTTCGTCGACTGGTGCTTGGAATCGAATACGTAAAGTCCACCATGGGCCGGACTCGCCCGACTGCTGGACACGCGCGCGCGATCGGGGGGCGTGCTGCCCGCACGCCCCGACGTCGGAGCTTGAGGACCAACGTAGACACATTGACCCGGGGTTTTGGACTTGACACATTGCCCGCATGGTAGAGCGCGATCGCATTTCAACTTGCGGCGTCTGCAGATGGTGCAGGACAAGGGCGGTCTGCGCCGCCGCGGCGGTGACTTAGGAGACTGGTCATCTCCATCCATCGTCTTGAGCGTTCCGTGCTGGGCTCGAAATTGTGACTGCTGGGGTGGCGATGACCCCGCGACCGTGCTCAAGTCACCTGATGCTGGTGTCTCGTTGCACCGTGATGTGGTGACCGGGGAGGAGCTGCGAGAACTTGGTGAGCTGGAGGTGGATGACTGCGCAGCGACCGGTGATGTCGAATGTCTTATCTGATCAGTAAGCTGACAGGGGAATGCCGAGCCCACGGCCTTCGCTGCCTAATTTGGCCGAGGAACGAAGACGTGGACAATCCACGATGCACCGCATTTTAGTCGACTGGCTAGTGGCTGTTGGTGGCTGTTGGTGGCTGTTGGTGGCTGTTGGTGGCTGTTGGTGGCTGTTGGTGGCTGTTGGTGCCTGGTGGGCGTCTTTAGGTAGGGAGACCCCCGGGCTTACCCCTCGGATTTACCGTAAGTAGCTGTCCGAGGTCTCGGAGATGCCTGTTCCGGTTAGTGTATTTACCCGCCAGGCCGCAAGTCGATGGCCGCGGGGATTCCAACACGACTGAGCCCTTCCGATGATTTGTTCAGTGGTACTCCATGTTGCAGATTATAGATTTGGCAGATGCTGTTCAATGATTCGAGAGGGTGGGAAGTGGGAAGTGGGAAGTGGGAACAGCAAAGATGTGACGAGTTCACGATTGGCGACATCAGTCTTCGTCTAGCCGCTAGGGGCCTAGTGGCAAGTCTTCTTCCTGCCAGGCATCCATCATTCCGTTCAGAATCCATAAGGCTGAGCACTTCAACCGGTGGAGAAGCGGTCCCTGGCGCAGTTTCTGTGTTAGGTGGATACTATAAGCATACAGTGATACACACGCCTGGGCATGCTATGTACCACGGAGCAACCTAAGCAGCAGCCCATGAGACAGAGAGAATCAAAGCACGCACCACACTATGATCCCCTGCCATGATATCGATGTCACTGGCTGCCCGTGCATGTCTCCGCTGTTTTTACCATGATGGCTTCCCATGAGTGGCTCCCCCACTCTTGGCCGTTTTGCCGTGTGGATAAGGTCCTAAACATATGAATAGAACGAATGCAACCATCTCTAGGATACACAAGCAAGTCTCTATCTGCCCAATATGAATCGCTATGCTGATGTCCATGCAGTTTCTATCTAGTATCTCTAATACAGATCAATGCAAAGAGACGTTGAAGATGCACTCCTTAATCCTGATTTCATCCCGATCCAACTCACAAACCAGAACTTCAAGAGTAAACAGGGAATGCACTAATTTTTCCAGAGTAGTGGCACTCTGTTGTAACCACAGTGCCGGTCTCTGTGACACAAGACCACAGGCTGCCAGTTGCAGTTGCATTGACCGTGACCTCGATCACCTCAGGGCCGTTGGTCCGCGTAATCGCCAGGGTGAAGGTGGAAATGTTGGTCACCCCGCCCGGGAAAACGACCCAGTAGTTACCATCCTCAGTGCGAGAGTCAGTGACCGGCGGTCCGGGGCGTTCCCTGGCCATGTTTGTTTGTTAGTTTAATCGTTGGTCAAAGAGGGAAGATGGGAGAGTGGAGGTGTACCACGACAAGTTAGCACCCGTAGTGTCGTTGTAATTGGGGTCAACAAGGATGAACTGGACATCAGCAGTCTCGCTGGTCTCAGAGGCCCAAAGACCGCTGATGGTGACTGCTTCCTCGGCTCGCTTAGCAGGGACGGCCAGAGCAGTGCTGGTAGCGAGAAGGAGGGAGCAGAACGCGATGGACTTCATTTTGTTTGATGAATGAATTTGTTGATTGGCGAGAAGGTGGAATTTTGGAGTGAGTAGGAATGTTTTCTGTTTGATGATGGAAAGACTATTCAACCCGAGGATTTGCAAGCTTTTATATCTTGCACACTCTACGATTTCCATTTCCGACATGGTATCTGAATACCAATACCGATTGTGGGATGAAGGTATACTCACAGCGCTCAGTCCGCCTGTTGTCTCAGTGCGCCGTATACCAAGTGCAAGCTCTAGTTGCAGTGCCTGACCACTAATACTCCTCAGGCCTCCCACAGATCAGCACTAACAATCCACGCCGAGTTCAGGCAATGGCTTATCAAAGCTGGTGCTGGCAAGTCAGCTGCTGATCTCTCCACGTCGAGTACGTCACCCACTGCGCCGCGAACCTAAACAGTATGGAATTGAGGCCGATAAGTCTGAAGCTTTCTCGATGTGTCATCCTGGTGGCCCGATCTCAATTTAGCCACGAACCATCGGCTGTCAGAGAGTGTACTCCGGAAAGCTTGACGGGGTGCCTGAACTGTGGGGATCCAGTGATTCTGGATGCTGCAGGAACCTAAATTTAGGTATTCAGGCCGAGATGGCCGGAATGTCCAGTGGATATTCAGTTGTTACTCGGAATCAGCCCCTCTTCCTAGTGCCATCGCCACGGATGAGCACTGCAGCTGATCATCCTTCGTATGGGTTTATAATACGTTTTATGACAGGATCAAAGTCAAATGACGACAAGCTCCAGATGCATTCATTGGCGATCCTGCTTATTAATGAAGCGCCCCCGGGCGGGTGATCAGCCGCTATAAAGACAGCCAGCCACAACAACTTGTCTGGACCCTCTAAACCCTCGAATTGCCCTCTCCGTTGCTCTCCTCTTCTCAGCCTGCATTGCGTTGCTTTGGTGTCCATCCTGAAACTCGGCCTCCACCCATTATGCTCATACTGCCCTTCTTAGTCGTGGCTTTATTTTTGCAAGTCAAATTCCCCTTGCTGCCAGGCTTGAGAGACTTCCTCTATGGCCTCATCCTCCTCAGCGCGTGCAGCGCTATTTTTTACCCGCCCGAGTCTGGGAACTTCATCACATATGCCAATGCATTTCTCTCCACTTCCTTAATCATCCGCGCTGTGGAACTGCTTCTCGTTCGGAACCTCAGCCACGTCAAGCGCCTGCAAAAGGTGTCATATCTATCCTCCTCGCCATTGTACGCATGGGAGCCTATATCCCCTACACTGGGGCTGAAGCGCTTTCTTCAGGTCTGTGATCTAGTCATCAATCCCCGCGCCATCGGCTGGAGCTACGGCTCTCCCAAGTACCAGCCGCCACTTCAGAAGATGGACGCCCCGGATGGCACGAATGGGTGCATCCCCGAATGCCAGAACATCGGTTTGGTGGCCGAGGGAGACCGCTTCTCGTTTCTGACGGGCAAATTGTGTAGGGTCGCTGTAGCCTATGTCCTCATAGACTCGTACCAGGCGGCCATTGGGCGTAATTACGCTGGCGTCTGCGAGGGCATAGAAGCATTCCTGACCGGCGTGTTGGGCATCCAAGCATCCCCAGCCACTAGCGAGATGCTGATGCAACTGTGCATTCTCCCAACCTTTTGCTGGATGATATCCTACGCCTTTGTCGATGGGATCCATGCCGCCGGGGGCATATTCTCGGTCGGTATCCTACGGGTTATTTCTCCTCAGATCGCCGGAGACCCATGGATGTATCCGCCTGTGTTCGGGGCCATGCAATATCTGTTTACCTTTAGTTTACGAGGTAAGACCCTATCTCTCCGTACTCCAACCTACAAACTAACCCATTTAATCCAGATATCTGGGGTAAAATGTGGCACGACCTCTGCCGACGGCCTTTTCTGGCCCTTTCCCTAGCCCTCATCCCGGACTCATGTCCAACAGGATTAAAACGATTTCTCGTCATCTGTGTCTCTTTCGCCGTGTCAGGCATAGTCCACTCTGCAGGGACTTATTCCGTTTCGAAGGACTGGTTCGCGGTCGGCGTGATGATGGTTTTCTTTTGCAGCCTGCCTTTCTTCCTTGCCATGCAGCAGATCATCTCCGAGCAGATCTTGCCGCGTACATTCCCTCGCAACAGCAGCATCTCTCGCGTTGCTATTTGGCTCTTCAACGCAACGTTCCTCATGGTTTGGGGCCATTATACCAGCCCCTGGTATCTTAGATACAGTGAACTTCCCGAGGCTATGGCATCGATTCCGTTACCGTTCAGTTTGTGGAGAACACTGTTTAAAGTCTAGGATTTGTGTCTCATAGAAGCACTTAGATATGTGGTTTGAGATGTCTGGTGGGCTCAAAAAGAAGAGCAGCGGCACAATGCTTGACCAAGATATCTCAGCACACCTGCATTCGATTTTGCATAAAGCGAACGGGTGGTACCACATACATCATACCTCCTTCTGGGCTTTCTTTGGAGAGATAACATTTTAGACGTTATAGGTAATACATGCAGCGAAAACTGCCACTCTCGACTTGGGCGAGAGCGTCCCATTCTATGTATCTACATCACTCTTTGTGCACATTGACTGCAAGGACCTTATATGTGGAACGCCCATCTGTTTACCTGCGCTGTACCATTGGTTTATCCATACACAATGTCAATATATCAGGTGCTCAGGCGCTACTGCCGTACAAGGAAGCGTAAACTCCAAGGTTGAACCTCTCCGACTGAGACCTTGCGCATGGTGACGATGTATTGTCTCCAAGATTTGAGGCATTCTATATGTAGGACTTAGCATCATGAATTCCGTAGCAGCCTTCATAACCCGCTGGTTCGGTAATTTCCGCATATATTCGAAACAATTTTCGCTGGCTGCGGATACTGAGGGTAGAAATTTGAGTAGGACGTGATCTTACAGCTAAACATCCATGTTTCCCAAGTAACGACATTCAAGATTATACTGGAGAATTATACCGAAGAAGGGATTTGCACAAGGCATCTTGTTCTTGGGATTGCATGTTGGAACTTATTCACCTTGGAATTGTTCCACTAGCGTATCTATTTTGGTCTAGTTGGAAGATTCCAACATTGCACTCCTATGCGGAAATGTACGTAGCTCATAAAGAATACGTTTCTTCTGGGCCTGATAATAGAATTTTCAATTCAAGCTCACTTCCCTGGTAGTTTTGCAACACCTACGGCCTCCTGTTGATTGCAGGCCTAGAACAGCTGTCTCATTGGTCATATAGAAAAGTCGATCTCGCCTCGAGACATTACAACGCGATAATAAAAAGATGAAAAGAAGGATGGGCTTCTAAGATCTCTTATCCATCTCCTTGCTGAGCTCTGGCTTTGAAGTATGGGGCTGCATTCCCATGATCATCATTATCCTACACTAAATGTGTATTGGGAACCCGCCGGGCCGTAACAATGACTGAATGTGATATATGACCATCTAAGAAACCCCTGCTTAACATTTCATTCACTTTAGTGTACCTAGCGATGGGGGTTATATTGTCCGGCATCCTCCCCGAAAACGATCTCTCACCTACCCACTATCCATGTTCCTTCATCCCTCCTTCAGCCTTCCTCCAAGCTTCCTACAAGCCTTTTCTATTCCTCCTACATCTCTCCCATACTAGTCTCTCAACACCACAATTCTTTCAAAGAGTACCATTTACTTCTTATCAGCCTCTCTTGGCAACCATGGCGAACCTTCTCTCCTTGCCTGCAGAGATCCTTCTCCTCATACCTTCGTATATTCACTCGGTTGGAGATGCGAATGGCCTGCTAAATCTTTGCCTCACCTCAAGAACGCTTCGCACATTTACCCAGCCGTTAATATTCCGTGACTATGATAGAACAGACGATTACATTCACTCGAATCAAAATCACAAAGAAGGCCGCATAGGTCCCCTTCTCTGCTTCACACAAACTGTTCTTTTACGCCCTGAGCTGGGCGCCCGTGTCCGTCGAATGGTAATAGAGGGCTGGGGTAAGGATGTCAATACACTGGAAAGGCGGTCGAATGCACACCAACCTGACTCGATCAAGACCCTTGCCAAGGGAGTTTAGCATCTTCCCGTGACAGACAAAGTGAAGTTCCTATCGGGGATTATGGCGGCCAAAGCAAATCCGTTGCTTGTGCTCCTTATCTCTCAGGCGCCCAATCTAGAAGAGCTCGACCTTATGACTTCAGATGAAGGTCTGAAGATATTAGAGCCTCTCTTTCTGCCTGGGCCTCAGGGTTTAATCGACTCTTTATCTCCCCCAACTGAAATCGCTCTCTATCCAGGATCGTGGACGTATATGAAGGACAAATCGATGAATAATCTGATACATCTCATGCGTCTGCTACTGTTGGAGCATTTTCGCTTGTTCAGTTGTGACGGGCATGCTCCTGGATGCCCATCTTTCGATATCGCACCGCATCGTACAGCTGTCCCTGTTTGACGCCTCGCTTGAATTCAGCAACGTTGAGCAAGATTGTCAATTCATGCAAGCGCCTCGAGGGTTTTGTGTATATCGCGTCCCCGTGTAATTCTCATCAGTATAGTTGACAGGTTCAACCGTCGCAGATAGTTTCGGTCCTAGAGCCTCACAAGAGCAGTCTCGGAGCGATATCTATCGATCTGCATCGTGCAGACCGTTCCGTATGTCATTGGGATGAATGTCCTCAATACGACTCCTTTGTGTCCTTCACAAACCTTTACCGTCTTAAACTAGAGCAGGGCTCGATTCAGGATTTGACAGCCCTTCCAGCCTCTCTGGAAGTTCTTGGGTTCCATCTATGCGACTATCCAGTGTTCGATATGCTGGATACTTTGATAGAAATGAGCCAAACTAGCCTGCAGTCCCTATACCTAGACAATCTGGATGCAAGATGCTTCTCAGTAGGAATTCTCGGGTTGACTTGAACGAACCCTCATACATGGCAGAGCTCCGCAAGACATGTCAACGTCTGGAAAATATCGCCTGAAAAGCGGATTTCGAAATTCAGATTCAGCACATAAAATGGTATACTTTTATTGCCGAAGAAGTGTTGAACTAGTTTATGGAACTAGTTTATTGAGCAACAGATACAAAAGCACTGTTACGTCTACGTACTAAACCAAAAGCATGGTTAAAGCAGGATACTTGTGATGATAGGACCTTCTATTTTCCTTCGTGGCTTTATGATATGCTTTTTCCCACCATTTTTTACTGTGTAGTTAACTTTTCACAAGCTGTATTGTGCGAACAGTTTCTTGAGGTTCTGTGTTCCTTCTTACGATCCCGCTAGATTCCATGCAATTTTCCTTTATCTCAACGCAGTGTAGAATAATGTCGACAAAATGATAGCATAGATGTGTCTACCAATTGCCACAGAAGAGCCTTCTCTGAAGTTCCTTTGCAGAGAATACCAAAATAGGATCAAGGTGACAGGAAAGGAGAAGCACCATCTGTAGGTGCAATGGTGCTAGTCTTGGGAAATGATAATTATGAAAGAATCCAGGAATTTGCGCTGTACGATGCTCCAGAATACAACTACTGCTGGCTGTCTAGACTAGGCGTAGTGAGTTTTAGCGATGTCTGAATGGAGACATATGCGATGGCATTAAGTTCTTAAGTTATCCATCGATCCTTGAGTACCTGTTATTCTTCACAGATGATCCAGCGACTTGCGAAAGCAGGGTCTCAGCATAAGGGACTCGACATCAAAGACATGTCACGCAGAAAAACGGAATAAGATGGCCAGGGAAATACTTAGACAAGCATGTTTCTGGAGTATCTAACTCGAAAAAACCTATCGCTGGCAATAAACAAAGACGTCACAACGCACGGACATCGGGACCTCTCCGCCGCAGCTCTGTAATTGGTCAATCTGGATGGCGGGACCTCGGCTTTCAACTCCAACAAACTTCAACAGCTTCCTGTGCACTGCTGTAATACGCTTAAAGGAATGAATCAACCTCATTCTATTTGCCCTCGACTAAAGACTCTGCAATCCCTAGAAGTGGGAAGTCCTGAAAATCTTCGAGCCTGTTGGCTCTTCCCGAGCAAACACTTCCGCCACACTTGTTTTCAACTCCGCTAGCCACCTCCGCAAGAACCCATTAAATACTTTCGCAGCAACGATGCCAACCATTTATCGCTTAAGGGCTTGAATAATCACATGAAGGAGGAACAATGCTCTACAACGCTCTCATTCGAACCCATCACATCACCTCCCGCAAAAAGGTGTCCGCGTTGAAACGTGCAGCCGATATCCACAATTGCTTCGTGCTTCTCCGCTCCGGAGGATGTCCTGGGATAATGTACGTTGAGGCGAAAGACAAAGACGCTGTCGAATCGTGGGTGACTGTGGTGCGAAAACTGCGGTACAAAGACTTTCAACTAGCCACCCGGCCTGGACCCTTGCACGATGAAAATCAGCCGGAAGTCCGAGATCAGAAACAAATACCCCTATCGAGGAAACAGGATACAAGGGCTGGAGTCTCCGAGGTCGAATCTGTGAAAGAATTTGGAAGTCTGATGGAACAACGTGGGGTGTGGAAATGGTGGAGAAAGGGAATGGGCTACATGAGCTGATGTTTCACCGGCTACGTATATGGAGGTCATTCTCTCTGGTTCAAGTCAATGAATGACTTTGCTCCACCTCGAGTGTCACCAAAGCCATCGGGCACAGCTCAGATTGTTTGACACAACCTATGCCAGATCTGGTGGAATCTGCGATCAATCAGCACGATTGGCAAGGACACTTGTATCCAGCTGCAGGCCGTCATTCATCTACGCGGCTTCTTATATGTTCAGCCATCCAATGCTCGGCCATATACTCCGTACAGTCGCCGGACACACACACACTACCAACTCTGACTTGGAAACCACGGCATAAAAGCTATCTACACGAAATTCACTATCGGCTGAGATTATAGGAGCCCAGCTCAACCATGCCATTTGGAACCGTATGGTCCAGTCACCGGGTTATGGTCGCCGGGTAACCTTGCAATAGGACCGTTCTGACCAAACTCATCGTTTGGTGGAGCCACATCCAAAGACTGCAACGTTGGAGCCACGACCCTCATCTGTGTCCTCGTTATCGAGCATTCCGGGTCAGTCAACCCATTTGGGCCTGTGCACGTGTCCATTGCTCGCTGCAGAGCGCTCTGGTCTGTCCAGCCATACATGAAATCACCGTGCAGACCATATCCGGTTGGGTCACCCATCGCATATACCCAGTTACGGTAGTCAGGGAATGGGGCCGTGTTAAAAAAGAATTCCAAAAAGATGGAATAGATCGCAACGGGATGAGACTCCGGACAAACGCCCTTGTTGTAATCTCCCGTCACTGGATACGCCATCTGCGCATCAAAGTCAGCATGCACACACACTGGACACAGACAGACCTGCACACATACATGGCTCCTATGATTTGGACTGTCAAGATTTTCTCCATCCCAGCAGGATGGCATAAACACCTGCGATCTCAACGTCTCACAAGGTTGCTGAGGAAGACCTTTGGTTTCGTTTGAACTCCCGTCCTGCCCAATGCACATATGACTGATAGCGCGTTGGGACCAATCTGAATCATTATAGGTTCTTTCCATCCACTTATCAGAAATTAATACAATAAACCTTTCAAACGAGCAAACCAACCGAAGATGTGGATCCCCCGCAATCATCCTCAGTCCTTCCGGCGGTGCCAACGCATACTGCGATTCATCACAAGCCGTCAACCCAACCGTATAATTGCACGCTCGATTAAAGTAGTAAATACTCTAACTCGTTAGCCAGGCTGCGTCAATCTTAGAAACCATCAAATCTTAACATACACTTGACTGATACTCAACGAGCTCAAACGACCCATTCCGCATCCAATGATAAAGTTGCGGAATCCAATAATTGCTCTTATCAATCGCCACGCCACACGTCGTATCCCGTGCATTCTGCGCCATACTCTGATTCATCGTCCTCTGGAATGCCGTTCCCCCCGCAACGACATGAGTATGTCCAGACGGCTCTCCAGGCGCAACAATCGGATCCGACAGCTGGGTAGTCAACGGCACACAACTGAACGTGAACTCGTCTGTCGTGTGTAGAGTCCCGATCACCGAACCACTGAGCATCAGCAGCAGAAGCAGAGCTTCAACGTAGCCACGAGGTACGTTCTGCATAGTGAAGAGCGCCCACGGCATGAGTCTGATGAACCTGTCACACAAACCTAACCCGTCGTAGCATTCAACATCAGTTTCACAAAATGAAAAACAATAAACCAGAATAATCTCCTAGCCCCCTTTATTATATATATACTATAATCTTCCAATACCTTAAATCAAGCTTCCACCCATAAACCTGCCATCCGTGCGTCTAGACACCAATAAACATTCCACAATACAAGCCAAGGTCACACACATACCACACCAATGACCCCCGAAAAATGCCAGACAGTTCATACACGTCTTGGCTTTTCAACTTGTGTGTATGTGTCTAGTATCTACTCCACAGCAACTCGGTACTAATAATAACCTGAGTCCCCTAGTCCCCCAGGGCAGGGCCACGGACTAACACTTCAACCACACAGGTACTTTCTTACTGTTCGTTCGTACAAAAAGCCACCCAGTAATGAACACCAACTGATGTCTTCAGATTCACGATTTAATATATCATGGCATCGTCTCTTTGATTTATCGTACTACACAGCTAGAACTCTTTTTTTGTTTGTGAAAAAAACCGATATAAGCTCAATGAGTGTCTAGAATATTTGGTGACATGGGAGGGGGGTAATTTTCCCAGCTCTGGGGATTTTTTGGGACTTGTTCTGGGATATGTTAAGACATCAGAGTATATTATGCTGTTGTGGGAAGGAGTGGGGAGTATAGTATTCTGAAAGATTGAATTGTATTAGTAGTTTGTATATAATAGGTGATTCCTTGTATAGGGGTGTTTTGATTGATAGTATACTATATATTTATGTGGAGCTGGGATGACATGGGTGCTGGTTGGTGTGGGGAAAATAAGTAGGTAGTGTGGAATCTGGTTGCCTGGGTGTATAATTTTATGTTACTTGTGTATGGAAGAAACACGCCATGGGAGTGCTATTCTAGAAGGATGGGGATTCAATTGGAGCTCCTGCTGGTATGTTTATGACTTGTGAGATGCATACAAGTTACTATGTCGGATACAGCCACATGTTGGATGACAAGGCGACTGATTGACCAGGAGTGTTGTATTGCTACATTAAAGTTTCTTGCTTTTATTTTGTCGCGTAACATAAACGCTTAGAATGCAGAAGAAGATGTTTTGCTTGCCGAACACCGAAATCACCCGGACCTAGCCGCTACAAGCCTATTCAACCCTGCAATCCCTGATGACATGACTAATGGTTACCTGGCCTTGCATGCAGCATGGGCAGATAAATCCAAGCCAAAGTCTATGCCTGATGTCACGCCATTGACATCCGTCGGACCGGGCACATCGGTAGATCGTCCGTGCCCAGGTTATTTCCGTGTCCAGTGAGAGCTCACATCCAAGGATCGAGGTGTCAGCCCACTGGCACCTCCAAGTAATGTGCTGGATGAACCGGCTCCCAATAAAATTGCACTGCCGTATCCATTCCACGCTTCACGTGAAGGTGCTATACACCTCTGCTATCGTGGAGGATCTAAATATGATTCAACGTATCCATAGTACCCTCGACAGCCCCGACACGAAAAACGCCCTGAGACCCGACAGAAGGGTTCGTAGAGGGCTCTGAAACCTGACCCAGGTGGGCTGGGCCTTCATGGCCGATCGCATCCCATTCTTTGGACATCAATGTTTGAATGAATCGGTCTCAATACAGCGACACTTGTTAACAGGCATGCCTGGGCTTGCTACCGAACGTGGTCAAGCCTGGCTTGGATCGTTTTTTCGTCAAATCGCCCGTCGTCGCCCTCATAGTTGCGAAGGGCTTCGGAAAACATTAGGCGGCGCGGCGCTTTCCGTCCCGTCATGAGCTCAAACTGCGGTATCGCTTGCTCAACCACGTTGTCAAGCCCATCAACCAACACCCAGGGGCGCCCGGTTTCACTCCGGATGCGACGCATCTGGCGCAGCAGCGGCGTGTCCAGGGGCTTGTAAGCGAACTAGGCGTCAAAAGTTAGTCAAGTAAGCTCGAGTCCCCCGTCAAGAAAAACTAACCTCAAGAACCACGCCGCCAGTTGGGCTTCCCAACCACTGCATAGGCATTTCGAAGTTGGCCGGGGGCTCGTCCCCATCCCGGTCCGCAGGCACACAGGATGCGATCATACAAGGGGGGCAGGCATCGGCAGGCCATTCATCCTTCAAGGACTTGAGCACATACACAACTTCAGTTGACTCCACTTGCGATGCAGCCCATGAATTGAAATGGAGCGCTACACTCTCCGCTCGTGACAAGGTTCTGTTGTATATGAAAATCTTACGGCATCCGAGCCGGAGCATGGCGTAGACGGCGGCGCGAGCCATCCCGCCCGCTCCTATCACCAGCCCTGTAGTCTTTGATGGACTGATGGCATTGCGTGGCGAGAGATTACGGTTGATGCAGGTCATGATGCCAACCCAATCCGTGTTCTCACCGTACCATCCTAGGACAGGTCCGGCCTGGTTACGACGACTCGCCTGCTCTTGCAGAGGAAACATGGACCCATCGGCACGCGCCCGAAGTGGCACGATTGTGTTGATCGCACCTATCGCCTCAACGTGGCGACTCTTCGCAGCAAGCTTATGGGACAGCTGTACCCTCCACGGCTGGACCACACTCGAACCTCCAAAATGGGAGTCCCTGCCCAGCCGGTCCATGATCGCCAGCGAGGGTGATTCTGGTATCGTATAGGTATGGCTCATGCCACAATGGCGGAAGGCGGCATTATGCATCGCTGGGGAAAGACTGTACGCGACATTGCCTCCGAGAATAAAGAATTGGAGTGGGTCTAGCACATAACTTTGAAACAAAGCCTGAACTGCATCACGAGATGTGATCTGAGGGTCCCGTCCGTTATCGGTGGTTCGTTCAATCGCTGGGTGGGTCACAGAGGTGAGGATGGAATTGAACACTTGAGAGGTCCGCCCAAGACTACCAATGTTGTATGCGATTACCGGTGGATGATTGCCAGACAAGGCATGGACCTTGTTGGTGAATTTTAAAACTGCTGCGTTGTCTTCACGCGCTGTAGCTACCCGAAGGAAACGGACGAGCTGGCACCCCAGCTTCTCGGCCTCGAGATAAAGGGAAAAGCATTCTTCGCTCTCCCAGGTCTCCAGGGCAGACGGTTCAAATATGCGTTGCCCAATGATTTTGGTATTTCCCCTGGTGCGAATTGCCTCCTGCACTCGAGCATGTTCCTGGCCTAAGTCTACTGCCAAATATTCGACTGCCAGTCGTAGGGCATGTTCCACAATCGCAAAATATGAGCTGTTCACCTGCGCGGGAGACATATCTTCCTTGGCGATGCCTGTAGGAGATTTGTCTATCGAAATTATGATGGGCGTGCGAGCATTCCTCCGGAGCAAAGCAACCTGCTTGCTCAAGGTTGCTGTTAATCCCGGGCCCCAGCGGTCAACACAGAGTTCAATTGCATCACCGCCTGACTCAAGCTCTGGCAACTTGACAATTCCTTCCGCGAGGTCCGAGGATCGCACAAATACCGCATGGGTGAAGGACCGAAGTTCTGGTGGGGTTTCAAGCAGGACAAAAGGCGAGTCGTAACTAGTATGTCCTACATCTGTGCCGGTCACGAAACGTACGAAGCGGGTGAAGTCCTCTTTCGCCTCCTTCAGTTTGAAAGAATAATCGACGCAGCGTCTATCCGGAGATCCCTCGTCTGTCTGTGCCGATATGCTGGAGCAATCTTCAACATTATAGAATTCGAAATTGGAACAAGTTCTGTGTAGAGGATCGCCCTCGCAAAGTAGTTTGACGGACTGGTCCTCTAGGCCTAGTAGGCTCTGTATGCGATCCATGTCACGTATTAGGTATACGATAGGATTGGTCGCAGAATATCGACGCAGGTGTTCTTGAACAGGGCGAGTAAGACTTCCTAGGCCGCATTCAATCACACAGCATGAGCGATGGTTGTCAAGCATTGACTTGAGGATTTCAATATCGCGTTGCTGAAATTCTTGGCTCCCAAAGCGCTTCAGAAACTCATGTCTGGTGTGACCGGTCATCTCCTTGAAATAATGGTCTTCCGTAATAAAGCGCCGCTTCAACGCAGTGGCAGCGACGAATCCCAAAGACCGTTTCCCGCATCCCCGGATGCCCACCAGCACAAGCGAGGCATCCGGATTGAACTTCCGGCGCTTGTCTATCGGAGAGGTTTTGTGCATCGCGGCCAATTACGTAGATCAGTAGGCGTCCGATGTGATCGATGCGGAAGACAAACAGCTCGCTGAGGAGATATGTAAAAGCGTCTCGAAGCGCAGATAGAGATACCGAACTGATCCAAAGCAGCCTAGCCAATACCAATTATTTGCAACGCGTCATGTTCAAGGCGGCCATGGTTCTTCAATTGGTGGAATGGGGACGGTGAGCGCCTTCGATCGACGCGGAGAAGCTATAGCGGAGATATGGCGGGGGTGAGAATAGTGGCAGAGGCGGAGAGCAGTGGGTGCGGCAGAGACAAAGGCGGTCAGACGGCGCAGCTGGCAATGGCAATGGCAATGGCATGCCTGCAAGGGCTGGCAGGGGATGAGGACGGGAAGTAGGCGCGGAAGAGGGGGGGCGTGATTGGTTTGCTGGGAAGGATGACGGGGCCGGAGAAAGTGTGATTATAACAGAACCAGACCCTCTCATGGGCAGGAATGCTCGGGTGCGACCAAAGGGTTCGCCGTCTCCAGTTCCATCTGCCCCGGGAGACCGCCTGCCTCGAAAGTCTCCCGGCTAAGACCTTTCCCGGTAGCTGATCTCTCCCGCGGAGCACTCCGTATACGACATAGATTGGCTTGACTGTAACCCGTTTCCATAGCTGGCACCTACTTAATTCGTCCCTGGGAACCGCAATAACCCATAAACATGCATCTCTTTGATAAGCCCATCGACCCCATCCTCCAGGCAGAAACAAAACGCTGCTGTTAGTGTGTATGATGGCCTAACGGATGGGTGGGTAGCCAGCAAGCTCAGACGGGAGAAACCAATCGACAGAGACAATTACTCTCTCAGACCCGTGTTAATCTGTGCCTACATCGCTCTAAGCTTTAGTTTTTCGGTCCGTTCGCCCATCTCAACAGACTCAGACGTATATGCTTAAGATTAAATGGAGTCGAGTAGTACTACTAGGCGATGTATCGTTCCGCGTCCCCCGGAGTAGGGACCCTGCACGATGCCTCGGACCCGATGAATACCCCGAGACTGGGACACTTGGTGAACCTTGGGCCTTGACAGTACTCCGTACGTATGTCTACTTCATCATGCAGGACTAGTACCGAGTCGGGATGCCGGATCACATCCCGGATCCGCGAATGGTCTTAGGGTTGTTATTCATGACCGAGCCATGACATGATTGACCCAGTCGACGCTTTAAGTATCGAAAGGAAGGGTGTCGGACCCCTGCCAGCGGCGAATCAGAGCTGGGAAAGGACGGGTTAGTTTGGAGTGCCACTGTGGACTAGCCGGTGGTTTAGATAGATACCTACTCTGTGTAGGTAGTAGGTACTAGGTAGATTCTTTTTGTTCGACAACTGTGGGGTGAATTCGACGACTGGTTCCCGCCGACAGCAAAAGGGCCGATATTCGGCTATTTTCCAATAGCCCCGATGATTGGGTTACTGAGTTTCGAGTTTGATAACCAGGTACTAGAATGGTTGGGTGATGGTATGCTATCATGTATCACTAGTCAGTAATCACAATATTCAGGGGGTTGGAGTAAGCTTTGCAGAAGTGAAACCATGATTCGGGGAATGGAGACTGAGGGGCATGATTAGATTGGGAGATGCCATGTACACTGATTATGTTGAATCTACGGAGTAGTACTCCAATACAACTAATAACGATAACGATGATTATATTAATAGGAGTAGGACATGTGATCGGTTAGACGGAAACTTGATGCGATGTATTTTTGGCAGACACGGTCGCAGATGCTATTTTTGCGCATCGTGAGGGAGTAGGATGGGGGGGCTGAGCATGAAGGAGATGGAGAGAAGCGGATGACGCCTGCTCTCCATGGATCCCACCGAGCCAAGACAGCGAAGGACAGCGGAAATCTCGGTTCTCCTGCATCTTGCATCGTGCAGGAGAGCCCCTTGGGGACTTGGGAGGAAAATTTCCCACACCGCGTTGTGGAGAGGTTGTGGGGATCCGGTGTGGGGCTGTGGCCTCAGGCCTCAGTTTTCTTCCATTTTGGGGAGGCAATACCACTCCAGTAATCAAAAGAAAATGGAAGAAAAAAAAACTTTTTTTTACCTAAAATAATAATGATTTCTTATTCTTGGATTTTTATGATTATTATTATTATTATTATTTCCTAACTGAACTCTCTCTACTACTATACTACTGTGTAGTACTCCATACACACCTAGCAGCACAGTATCCATCCCCATCCCATTCCATCCAGTCAGTCCAGTTGGAGCCCAGTCCCGACGGAACCCAAAACTCACCCGCCAAAAAAAAAGTCAACTCACTAAATCAACTAATGCTGCCATCCTGATCCCGACCTTTGCCCCGATCTTTTACCCCCTCCCGTCCCTCGTTCCCCGTTTTTCTATACGCTTTCCCGGGCCCCGTTTAAACTTGGTTGCCTCAGGATGGGTCTGGGCCGATGTGCTCTCCATATTGGATGAACCAAGGAGAATCGACCGCGAGACCCTGAGGTGGCTGTGGTAGCTATCGTCCGTCCAGCTTTAGACTCCTGGGGTTCTTGCGTAATACTTGCCTTCCTTTCCCTTCTGGCCCTTTTCCGATTGCGTCTGGGGCCCCGATGGTGTTGTGTTATAACAGGGCGTGCATGCACACTGCGATAGCCTTTTCGGCCTGCTCCAATCCCTCCGCCGCGGTCCCTTTCTCGGCTTCCCTTTCGACTATTAACATTAACCCAAACTACCTTTTCCGTCGCGCGCCTCGTCTTCCCTCTTCTGGTCGGTGTCCCTTGCCCGACCACCTTCGCTCGCTACCTTTTTCCTTTGCTTCTTCTTTCGTTTCATGACATGCCATCCCCGCCATAATTGACCCTCTCCCATGGACGAGGGTTCCGATTCCAAAGCCCCTCGACGGAAGAGGGTGTCGAGAGCCTGTGACCGATGTCGAAGCAAAAAGGTCAGCAAATACCTTTCTTTCTCTCCTCCTCCTCCACCTCCTCTTCTTCCATCCTCTTGTCTTCTTCGTGCCTTTTCTCTCGCTGCTTCTTCCTTATTCTGGCGATGACCCTCCTCTGCCCTCCCATTCCTCCATACTGAGCTGCAGTTGTGGTGTTCTGCTGTGCCGTGGTATCCCGAGCTTGGTGGTGGTGGTGCACTCACTACTTGCATCACGTCACGGCCTTGCCTGTTTCGGTGCTTATAGTACTTGCTTCCCACCTCGTCTATCTCCGTTTATCTCCTTGCGCCATCTACACCCTCCTAACTCACCCTCCGATATGTACATCTTCGCGTTTTTTTTCAAACCTCCATTCTGACAGCGACTCACTGTAGGACAAATGTGATGGACTTCGTCCTGCTTGTTCTGCCTGCCAGGCTTCAGGCCAGACTTGCTCATATGATCCCCACGCAAAGAAGCGCGGGCTACCAGAGGGCTATGTCCGTGGCTTGGAAAAGCTCTGGGCCTTATCGATCTGCAATATCGATGGTTTCGAAGACACAATGCTAACCTTGCTGGGCACCACCGCCGAATCAGCTGGCCGGAGAAAAAAGCTCATGTCTCTTTGGACTGATGATGGCGCGTCAGAGACATTGCATGAATCCTGGAAAACGAGTCGCCTCTACGGTGCGCTCGAGAGGATGCTATCCAATTCCGACCTACCGACAGACAGCACAGGTAAACGACCTCGGGAGGATCAAGATGACGGTCCAGGTAGTGAATGGGGTTTCCGCATTGACCGGAGTTCAACCCCTCTTTGTCAAGATGCTCCGCGTGTCGTTGAGCCTTCCGTCTCTCCCCGTGCTAAAAGGCCTCGACTAGCCGCTCCCCCAGATAGTCGGGTCCCATCACATACCGCCAATGCCACAAATGCGCTACAGTTACCGCCTCAGACCTCGCAGCTGCTGGATGTCTATTTCGCTGTCACTCACTCATGGTTTCCAATTGTCGCCAAGCACAACATTCTACGAGCATCCTACCTTTATGCAAGCGCGCCTCTGTCCGTCGCTAAGATGGCACCAGGTTCGGGCGATCACGCCGCGTTGTGGGCCCTACTCAGTTATACCATTTCGCAATCTCGGGTGAACCCGCAGGACGGGGTGTTGGAAGTGCTTTCTAGGACCAGGGAGTATTATTCGGTGGCTCGAAGCTTGATCCCTTCCGAAACGGAGCGATATGAGCTTGGACATGTGCAGGCACTGTTGCTGCTGACATTGGTGAACATCGGCTTGGAGGATTGGACTGCCGCCTGGCTGTTGAGCGGCCAAGCAGTGCGCATGGCTATCTCTATGGATCTTGGGGCCTTTACGGATGTCCGACGTTCGGATGAGTTGAGACAAGGGAAGGCGGTTTTCCTTGGTTGCTTTGTGGTTGACTCGTTGCTGTCATTTCGTTTATCAAGGAGACCATGCATGCATCCTCGTGATCTGACCTTGGTAGGCTTGTTGGAAGAAGATGGTTTGGAAGAATGGAACTCGTGGGCAGACGTCTTACCACCTACGGGAGCTGGACAGGGGAAGAGCCCTCCTCGTCGAGGTCCCTTGCTCGCCCTAAGCTGCTTCAATCGACTAGTTGAGTTGGCTGGTGTACTAAACAAGATTGCTCGTGACTCCACTGCAGGGCCAAACGCACCCCTGTTTGCAGAGCAACTGGTTTTGGAACTCAAGCAATGGGATGACCGTCTCCCGCTTGGATGTCGATTGATTGGCCCGGAAAGCATTTATCCGGAGCGACACTCGGCGTTACTCCCACACCAGAGCTACCTTGGCCTAACCTACGTGGCCACGCTTCTGTGGCTTTATCTGCGCATTGCACCCCAAGAGCTTGGGTTGCACCGTTCTCAGCGGCCAGCCATCGAAGGGGCCAAGAAGCTCCTCTATAGGGCGCTTCCAATGGTATCTCAACATCTCGATAACTTCCAGATTTGCGGTTTGCCGCCTCTATTCGAGCTATCCTTGCGCACCATAGCCGAACAAGCGTTCACTCTACGCAACAAGATTGAATCGGATATGTTTCCCTTTGGGCGGTGGACTGAAGCACTTCTCCAGCGAACCACAGAGCTCAGTTCCACTTGGCCGGTATATCGTTCATTGGTCGCTTTGATCGACCACTGGTACCGCTCCAAGGATCTTCCTGGGAACTCCCCTCTGCCCTATCAGGCACCCGATGCAGGACCTGCACCCATGGTCACTCACGGTCCAACCAGCAATGCATTACCTCCTATCACTATGGCGACATCAGCGTCAGGGTATCCAAGCATGGCCAGCGAGCCTTCAATGAACCCTCATATGAGAAGGAATGTTCCTGGAATGAGAGATTCTGACTACACATCCACCATAATGGGCATCACTATCCCTGTGGACGGACAATACATGACGCCAAAGGATACAACGATGGAGAATGCAGATCTAAGTATGATGGATGTGTTACCACGAGGCCCTCGCCCTCATCCATCCACCCCTGACTCCGCTGTCTCGAGTACGATGATGTCGGGCACGGCTCCGACCGGGATGCATGACCGATCAGTACCTTCGGGAGGCTCGGATACGGCAGAACGCCATATTGGGCTGACCGGTGACATTGATGCCATCTTCAAGGATTTGGCATATCTTGACACCACGGAGTGGGCTAATAGTCGCGAGGCTGCTTTGAAGGATTTCGGATTCATCGATGATAGCACTTTCCAGGCTTTCTGTCATGACCCAGACCGGCTCGCTGGGTCTCAACCGTTAGTCCATCCCCCATCTATCGCCGATATTTGGCCGCCACCCGGGTTCTTCCCGGAGACGTTCCGTGAGTCTAGAGAGGATGTGATGGAAGGTTGATTGGTTACATTGGAGATCGTTCCACTCTCCCTGATCATCAAATGAAGTGGAAATAAACAGATCATCACCAGCAGCTCATCCCTGTTTCTCATCCCTAAAAGGGGGAAATCATTCCAGCTGTTTCCCTGTTTTTTTCGTCTTGTATGGATGGATGGTGCTGCCACAGTATCGCCCGATCATGTCAAATGTTTGGTCATCATCCTGCAACCCTTTACCTTATTCTCTTTCCTCTTGTTCCTTGTTGATGATACCCAATGTAAGTGTACAACACGGAGTTTCTTGACTAGCCATTGTCGCTCACAACGCTGACTCTCCTTGCTATAGTCCAGAAAATCTCAAATGCAACAGGGAGTTCAGGTTCATAGGTATATAGATGTTATCTCTTCATGCTGGTATATGCATATAAACTACCGAGAAACCAGGTGTCGGTCTGTGTGGCTCACAAACTCACGAGACATGAATTCATTTGTCCCATTCTACCCGTTCATCCGAACACTAGCACCCACTCTCTCTTCCATAAAGCTTAGTACTGACGTAGCATTGAACACGGTGTGATCCGGTTATGGGGCCGCCCCAAAGCACGGTCTTCTTCCTTCACTTGGTAGTAGCTCACTAGATGGCTAACTAATCTCCACCAGCCATTAGGCACCGACACTTATCTACCTCCTCTGGTCCCCAGCAGCCTCCCGAATCCTCCCACCTACACTAACCGCATACCAACACCACTTATTAATCTATCAATCCCAATTCCAATCCCACCGACCTATCATCTACCTCCCATAATGCATCCTTATGTCCACGCCGCATATAACCGCCCCCACCTGTATCCATGTTTTTAGACATCATTAATTACTTACCATACCCACTGTAGGCGACAGCCATAGGTACTAGTGGAGTGATAGATAGGGAAGGAGGTACAAACTACATATCAATCAATCCACATTTGGAAATAATGCCTATCTTGACCGTCCTGCGGTGCTTTACCTAGCCCCCTGTAGGATTGATTTCTACTTTGGTATTTGTCAATTGTGGTGGATCGAATGTGTTTCTGTCACCACTAGAGACTAAGATGAGATGAGGAATCATTATGTGTGTCTCGAGCTAGGTAGGATAGATAGATAGGATAGGTACCTCGTCGGTTGTAGGTCTTATTTGGGAAGACGGGAGGGACGGATGTTGGTATGAACGAGTACTCCATATAGATTCTCTATCTATCTTATGGTGGGGACTTTTAGTTGTCGTTACTGTCGGAAAAGGTCTTGTCTAGTACTATTGAATGTTCGTTTGTTCTTATGTTAAAGTCTGATATATAATGACCGACACAGGCAAATAGTCCATACGAAATTGTGCTACTTTATGCAGATGCGCTAGGTCTGGAGAAGAACGGGATGCAGAAAATTAGAGCCTGTATTACGGCCATCAAGAACGCCCACACAGAACCAAAGGCCAAGATGAATAACGCCAAAACACAATCCGAATGTCCGGTTCCCCCAAGGCACCCACGGCCCCCGAGAAATGAAGAACGACAACCCCCGCCTTTAACCCCTTTTATCGTCGACCAGCAGCCAGCAACATTAAAAGGAAAGCTCAGAACGCCTCAGCCCGTCTTCCTGGTCATATATTGTATGAGAAAGATGCATGAAAGATTCGTGGTAAGAAATTAGGTGCATTAAGTCGTAATCCTCACTCTGCGGACCTGCAGATGATCCCAAGAGAAAATCACCGTCGCCAGCCGACGTTCCATATCACGTGTGCAATATCCTTGGCCGTATTGACGGTATCCGCCACACGGTCAAAAATACTAGCACTCAACGGTTCATCTTCGTTTGGTGTGGATCCTCCTGGGGACATCGAGTGAAAGTAATAATCGAGCTCTTCGTCATCTTCCGGGTTGACAAACCAAGAACGGCTTAGACTTCCAAAGCTGTAGGAGTTTCGGCTTGGCTCCCAGTCGAAAGCCAAATCATTGTCTTCTTCATCCAACAGAAAATTGGCGGATGGCGCGGAGGCCCGGGAGGGCTTCACGGACCCGGATGAAGATGGCGTAGATTTCGAGAAATAGCTAGACCACCGATTCATTATCGAACTTGCAGGCGGTTGTGGCGTGTCCCGTCGGTTCTCTGGAGTGTCTCGGTGTTCTGTGGCACTTCCATGATGGTCTGAAACGTCCCATCGGTACTTCAGTGTGGTAGAAGGTAGCGGAGCAATGGTCTTATTTTCACCAATTGAGCTGCCACGCGGCGTACTTTTGTCGCTAATCGATGTGTCGGAGTGGATCTGTTTCATCATGACAATGCCATCCTCTGATGACTCTTCGTCAAAGGGAATTGGCCATCCATCATCTTCCTCTTTCGCCTCGACGGCAATACACTGCACCACTTCGTTGTTGAAGTGTATATGCCGTCTTTCGCTAGGCGACCCGATGCCTGACGACGAGGTATTGGTAACGGTACCGTTGGCCGAATCTCCCACGAGTGTGGTGGATGATTTGTTGAGTATCTGCCCAAATTCCGACGGACACCGCTGGAATGGGGGACGGTTCCGATTGGTCTCAGCCTCCTGTGCTTTCAAAATGGCGCCAGCATGTTGCAAGAGCGTATGCTGGGACAGAGAGCGCTGCAAGATGGTCTCGGAGGCTGTCCTCTTTTTCAAAATCGGTTTCCTATCCGGATACATGGTAGGCGTCTCCAGACAACTTGGAGGAGGCGAGCCGTTAGATGGCTTCTCACGCCTAGTACACGTTTTCAAAGGCCCGTACAGCCATGTGACATCACAATCCTTCAGCCTACAACGGCTGTTAGTATTGAATAAAGGGGAAGGACCGGTTGCAGTTTAGGCTTTAAGTGTGGGTAACCGACCAGTTGAGGGCCTCCGGAGACACTGTACCCAGGTTGAGTTTGAGTTTTGCCCATGTCCTCCACGAAGCATTCTCTAGCCTCACCCCATTATCATAAACGTTCCTTCGAGCGACCACATAACGCCAGGAGGCCCATATATCCTCCTGCCTCCACTCATGAGAAAGGTAATCAACGTGCCTCGACGGTTCATCCTCAATTGTGCTATCATCAGCAGCCGGTGCCTGCGTCAAGCGTTGAAGGTCGGCCGATGAGTCAACAGAGACATCACTCAGGGCCTTTGGTTCCTTCTGGTCGAATTGGCTGGAATCGTACGACGGCAGGACCAAATCGCCGTCCTCTTGACCTTCACTCATAAGCGACAGACTGCTAAGAGTCGTTGGCGTAGGAGGGAAATGATCCACGGCTGTGATAGTGAAGTCTGGGGATGAAGAATCTGAACGCGGCGAAGGGGGCGCAGCATCATCAGGGCAATCCCTGCGGTGAAATTCGGGGACATTGAACTTCGCCGTGGCGATGTTGGGCTCGTCAAGAAAATAAGTCTGTGTGATTGGACATCGCAAAGGATCCGAAGAAAAGCGCGAGCGCCCCTCATTCGAGGCGGGAAGTATAGCCGTCATCCTAGGAGCTCAGCTAAGGACATAAGGAGAGACTGCGTGTAAGGTGGAGGGGAGAGCGGTAATTGATCGAGGGTAGCAGTCTTGAGTCCAGCCAGGAGGTGAGAGCGTCAAGGACAGACACAATGAGGGGAATGCCCGGGGTTTAGATATGGCGACGAAGTGCTGAGATCATGGTACAAGATGGGGTAGGACAAAGCAGGACTCAATCTTAATTGGCAGCATATATAAAAGGGCAGCTAAGACTTTAAGAGCAATTGTAGGGCAGATGGGCTGGGGAGGTGTCGGGGAGAGCCATCAATAACGTGTGATATGCAGAGTTATTAACGGCTCTAAACAAGCCCCTCGGAGGGGGTGGAGAACGTCTTTGCTCGGTCGCACGAAAGGATCGGAAACTTGGATGGCTCGAAGCTAGATTCAGATGAAAGGTCGGGAATAAACCAGCGTGCAGAGCAGGGTGAAGGGCAGGGCAGGAGACGTAAAGTAACGGCCACGGGAAGCGGCGGGAAACCGGAAATACCCTCTCGATCGCGAGTTAGCGATAGTGGCGAGTGGAGATGCGATAATGCATGGGGGTTCGACCGTTGTTTTACCTCCCAGGTACTCCGCCAGGTCAAGTCCTTGGGAGTCGAGAGAGTCAAGAGAGTCGAGAGTCTAGATACCCGACGTAGGGGGAAGGCGGATGGAGGTTCGCACTTCGCAGATACCTAGTAGACCAACGCAGGGTACCGCGTCGACGGCTTGGCAAGGAGGATTCTGGAGGGTCGATCACGATTGACGTACGCGTGGGTTTTAAAAAGTACGAAGGAAGGGCTGCCGTATCTCGTAAGGGTGACAGGGATGCGGTTTATCTCTTTCGTGTCTACGGAGTACCACCGCATCGTACCTAGGAACGGGTACCTTCCAGCGAGGCATCAAACAGGGTCGCACCACCCAAGTATAGACAGAATCTGTTCCATCCATCCCCCCTTCGATATCATTTGCCACCAGCCAGCGAGTGAACCAACTCAAAGAGTGATCATGACGACGGTACCTCGAAAGGAAAAACCGGACGGGTGGGGAATAAGCTGCAGCGCTAGGACATGTCTGACTAGCCTGGAGCTATGTTACTCTTTCCCGCCTAGTGCACTGTCCACCGCTCAGTGCTGGTTGGCTGGTATTGCACTGGTGTAACTCTCGTGGTGCATGATGGTGGAGCGCATCAAGCAACGGCCATTCATCCATTGGTTGATATGAAGTGGGGTTGGCCATTCTTGACACCCGGACTCGACGACCCAGAGCCAGCCTCATGAAGCAATGTTCCTCGGAGTTAGAAGGTTCGATGGTGTCTTACTATCTACACAGTACTCCGTACTGATAGTAGGTATGTACACTGTAGGTACAGCCTCGGATCTATATTCGATACCCCCGGTGATGCATTCAATGCTGCGACCGGAGTCTAGAAGGACTCCGAAATGCCCACCCGCGCTAGTTCTGCACGGTCGGGGACAGATACTTTCATCCTGTTTGGTATTGGGAGGGACGTGCGACGCCCATCCCGGGATGACAGATCAGTGACCCTGCCTAATGACTGCTAAGTAACTGAACAGCTAACTAACTATGGAGTATTGTGAGCATCATCATAATAATCTCATCCCCTTGCCGTCTGACATTCTATTCCAGCACATCCCCGAACGCATTATCTGACCGGCCGACCGGCTGACCCACCGGCTGTCGATTCCCGCAGAATCTCTCCGAGAATGATGCGATACTGATAAGGTAGCAAACAAAGAACTCGAAAGTTTGTCTCCTCTGTTGCCCGTTTTGTTTTCTGGGGGATCTCCGCACGGTCGGTAGGAGTCCAGATCCCAGATCGTCGGCGAGCCAATGCGCGACCGTTGCTCGTTCATTCCGGGGCGCCCGCAACCAGAGCCCATCCCCTCAGAACCATGACCGACCTCTCCGATCATGCTATCCTATGTATCTGCCTGCTATCTGAACTCTGAAGACTGGATGCCCTGGTATCTTCCAGAATGCTGTCTGTTCTCCTGTGAATCATACGCTCTCGAGTCTGTCCAATGAGGCCGTCGCTGACCGCCGGTATCTACATAGTACTAGGGAATGGGATGGTCTCTCTCCGCTGAAAACGGTTCTCGGAATAACACGGGACGTTAAAATTGTCCTCTTGGTTGAGGACCTGTCCGATTACTACGTTGCCTCAGATGTTTAACGCATGCACGGATTTTTTGGTGCGATGGCCTGCATACGCTTTGGGCCAGGACTGCGTACTACCACGCTGACAGCAATGTTCTGCATATGGCACTATCTCTAGTTACTATGCCCGAGGATAATGAATGCAGTGGATCCCCTTCGTCTGCCCGTCGGAGTCCATTCCATTCTGTTTGCTTTTAGAGGAAAAGCCACGGACTAGGTAAACAATAGACAGAACACGCAGGTCCCTCTGGCTGTTGTGGAGCACGTGGATCTGAGCGTCTGGCGTAAACGCTCACCGGAGCTACTATTACCATTCTACTATCATTCTATGCTTTTCTATCCGGTTATCATGGACAACTCTCTCTGCAATCGAAGTCGGCTTGGAACCCCAGTGGATTAGGACATCAGAACTCCTTCTTTCAATGGGCTGCAAATCAGTCTACCACTATGCTTAAGATCCGAGCATTTCTGCCTTGGGGAATCCGGAGCAAACGACCGAGGTACCTTCTTAGCGCGGGCGAGTCTCTTACTATGTAGATAACACCCACTTAGATCCGTTGATCCGCTCTTAGTGCCCGTTTTGGGGCACTGAGATGAGCAATACTACCTACCTACACAGTGTGATAGTGATGCAGTGTAGGTCTGGTTCCGGGACACCTTCCATATCTCCCTCAGGGATAACGCCCCCATCTACGCATCCCCTATGGTATGGTCAACGCGCATGCGAATGGCCCCTCATCTCTCAAGGCAGGAAAGGGGGGTGAAACATTTTGGTCATTAAGATTTGCGGATTGGCACCAAAGAAGCCCATGAAGCGGCTCGATGCATGTCAGACAACCGAGGGCGAGGATAACGGATACGTGATACGGAGGGAGTGCACGCAAGGACCTTCCCACGAGGGGTTGTCTGGCGCTTCTCTTTGGTCGGTTGGCCGGTTGGCGCATGCGGTCCCCAGTGATTAAGCAGCAAACAACCACGCCTGCATGTTGGCCCCGTCAATTCCTACGACGGTATGGACCGTGCCCATTGTTTGTCATCCACCTATTTTTGCGCTTTGCTAGATACTCGATCAAATTTGGTTGATAGGCTCTGAGTACCATTCACTCCTTATCATCACTTACGTCGCTGGGGAACCTAAAGGGCTGACAGGCCCAATCTAGATCCCCTAGATTGAGACCGACCCAAGGAACCGAACTGGAGGGATTGAAGCGCCTATCAGGGCCTGTCAGGGCCTATCAGAGAAGTTATAATTAGGGCCATTCTTGCATGAAAGCGCCACGGCCAACCCCGACTATCTCAGCACCAACCGGAGTGAGACGATCAAGCCAGGACGTCGATCAGTCTGGCCCGCTTCCAAACGCGGGGTGCGATTGAAATACGAAACCCAGCGACTCCGAACTCACATCCAGCCTGTTCCCTCAATCTATGTTCATCCATGTTGGTTTCTCTTTAACGAGGCTCTGCTCCGGATCAGGACTTGTTTAGATGGAAGCATTTAGTTGGTCGTGCGTGCTGCCTCGGGCGTTCGTCGGACATTAGTCCGTCACAAGCCGCTCGAAATAACGCTATTCTGGAGAAGCGCCGGCTGTAAATTGTGACCAGGCAATCTCACTGACGTGTCTCAACTCTCCAAGGCAGCTGGTGCCCGTGCTCCCGCATCGCCCTGGTATGATTGTTGAACCACTCCCTGGCTCCTGGTCTACTGGGGTGGATCGCACCTGTTTGTTAGAAAGGGATATTAGATGCGGGGATGCAAAAGTTCTACCCGATTGGACCCATTAGCTTCCTAGTAGACAGACGGTCTGTTCTGTCTGGTCCTGCCCTCGCGAGTACTTCGCTGAGTCGGAGAGGCGGCGACTGCGAGTGCAGTAACTTTGCTCGCGCGGGTTGTCATGTTGGTGGAACACCAACTGCGCTAGCAACTGACAGGTTTGTGTTCGAATCATGCGTTATTTCAAGAGTCTAGAACAGCACTGGTCTTTACTAGTCGGCAGGTGAGTGCTATCCACTTTCAACATACGCGTAATAGCTGTCGAGGACCGCTTGTAGACCATCACCTAGTCTAAACTTGCCTCTTTCTAGCGGACCTCCAATGAATATCAGGCAGTTGACTCGGTGCTAATGCACCCTACCTTTTCTCACTATCGCGTATCAATGCATACCTGACCAGGGGCTATTTTTCATTCCACACCTCATTGCTTCTCTGACTTATCTTTCTCGCCCTTCTAAGTCGAAAACTGATCGTGTGGATATAATCAGATGGAGCCCGGAGTTACGTGCTTGTCCTATTAAAAATGGCTTGCCGCGGAAGAGACAAAATCTTTAGTCCTGGCTTGCTCACGGTTTGCTTGACAACGTCGCCTTCCAAGGCCTGGCCGATGCAAGCCTGCAATGTGAGACGGGGTAGGTGCAGCCACTAACATCATTGATTTCGATAACCATTAGAGATGCTGCGTTGCCAAGTTACTCACTCATGGTACATAAATTTGAGTTGGCGAGTATGGGCTAAAGCTCTACAGACGATTACCAATCAACATGCAGGCATAGAGCATGCCTTCGGATTGAGTCTACCTTCACATTTATCCATGCATGCTTCAACAATACGTTGCCTCTTAAGTAGTGGCGATATCACCTTTTTGGCCCCATAAAGCCTCAGATTCCATTGGTGTTTGACCTCCAATGCATGAAGTGTACATTGGCCGTTCTCTATCCTCTACCCGGCTTGCAACCACTACATGACCTGATATAGCAACCTCAGTGATGTTCATCTCGAGCGTCATACGAGGATGGGCTTGTTTGCTTGATGGCTCTCAGTTGCCACTGTTCATTGTTTCCCGATACATTACGAAAAAATTATCCCTGATTGGCGATCTCATTGTCTGTGGCAACTCTGTTCGTGTAACAGACGTCAGAAGATCATCAAATACTCGGCAGCAAGCTTTCTTCACGATGTCCTGCAACCACCCTACCTGCGAGGACGCATGAAGTCAAACATTCGGAGAATATTCTACCAACTGATCCTCCACTCCTGGGCATATGTCCCTGAGTTATTCAAAAGTATAAACAACAGACCCAGGGGTTTTATACCCAGCGATGAATGTAACGTAGCCAAGCTTTATGCATGTATGAAATGATCCTCTCACTACAGGAGCATCCAACAGATGCCAGGACATCAAGCTGTACCTTGCCTTATCCCTGCAATAATTGCTTTGTCGCCATGAGCTCATAATTATAATTGCCTTTTCCCTCCTATCCCCCGTTCTAGATCACGATCTTCTCCAAAAAGCACTCTATCACCTCGTAAGTATACAAATCATATGACCCATCTCCGTCACTATAAGCGGTTAGCCCCATCCACCGCCGGGAATACATACTCCCAGTCCGACCCCGCGCCTCTCGACACAGCGCGGGACACAGCGACGAGATTTTGTCCGCGATACAAGAATTCTTGAGCTTCTTGTAGTCATTATATACACGAAACGATCACAGGACTCCAAACTTCAAATATACAATAATGGCGGAAGTTGTACAACCAGTTTCTGCTGAATCACAGGCAAAGCATGTCCTATATTGTGGAGGTAAGTCAAATCACCTGTGACGCAAGAGTTCGAGTTCTAGAATATCATTATTTTCGTTACTATACGTAATTCATAAAATCTATCTCAGCTAACTGGTTTTTTAAATAGTCTGCACGCTGCCCCCGGAGGTATGTGGCCTATAACTTGACCCCTGGGACCTTGCGAACCCATCTTCTAGGCGGGGTAAACGGAGCGCAGCAGAAACGGCTAACCTGCCCCAACTCCAGTACTGCGAATTCGGTGGAACGGCGAAGAAATGCGAGGACTGGTTGAAGGACAGCCATCCGGATATGTACCAGCAGTTATATTCTGAAGGTTTGTTTCGCCCTCTCGCTGCGGGGTTGTGTGTGTGTGAGCTTACTGACTTTGGTGTCGTTTGATAGAGGCTCTCAGTACCAATCTTGCTACACTTTCGGTATCGGCCCGTGAGCGTGCGGCTAAGGATGCGGCTAAGAAGGAGGCGAAGGCGGCAGCTGCAGAGGCCCGCGATGCTGAGCGGAAGGCGGTTTCCAAAGTGCAGATCAAACGGGTCGAGCGCAACAAACGTAAACATGTTACTGTCGTCACCGGCTTGGATATATACGGACTGGAAAATAAGAAGGTGGCGAAGGATCTTGGAAAGAAGTTCGCGACCGGTTCTTCTATGACTAGGTCCGCTGGTGGCACTGAGGAGATCACGGTGCAGGGTGATGTGAGTGAGGAGATCAAAGAGTGGCTGTTGGAGGCGTACGGAAAGGAGATTCCAGAGGCCAACATTGAGCTCATTGAGGACAAGAAGAAGAAGAAAGCGGCCGAGCAATAAAAGGAGTATAATAATGGATGACAGAATGGGCGCATAATGTACAAAATTCTATGCTTGGAGACCCTCTGGGTATCATGTCATTATGGTTTACATATTAGATCGATGGAGACGCGACAGTCTCGAGGCTGGCCTTGGAAGTCGTCCTGAGTCTCAAAAAAAAAAAAAAAAAAAAAAAAGGAGGCAGCGCGCTCATAGCTCATCAAATATTTTCAAGGGATCTTGGTCAGAAGCCCTGGAGTTGCCGTCATCTCTGGTAGAGGTTGCTGTGATAGTAGCTGATCCCCCCGAAGGGCGACTATTATAGCGGTAAGGAAGATTGCGCAAAGATCGTGGCCATACCTCCCTTGGGCTATCTGAGACTGCCTCACCGTCATTCTCAGAGGGTAGAGCATGCGACGAGTTGGACATAGACGCCGCTTGCGAAAGCGCTTCGGGAGAGTTTGGGGCCATCACAGTCGGCCAATTCTGAATAGCAACCGCGAGCAGAA